AAAGTGATTTGAACGTATAACATACTGACTCACATGTGGAGTGATAGACACTTGGCTCAAAATGAAGCTGGAGACCTCACATTAAATTAATTTCTTCTACCTCTCAACATCACCTTTTTCATCCCTGCCTCAGGCTACCTGTTGCTGAAGCCCTTCAAGTCTTTATTACCATTAGACCTGACTCTTTCACTGCTCTCCTGCCCTGCCTCCCACATTCCATAGTCCATTAATTTGGAGTCATTCAAAACGCTGCTCCCCATTTCATAATTCGCACCCAAATCATGTTCACCCTTCATCTTTATGTTCACTAGCCAGCTGTAGATTCTCGTTCAATAATACTTCAATTCTAAAATTGTCAACTTGGATTTCAAATCTTCCAATGGCCTCATCCTTTTCTATTTCTGTAATGTCTGCAGGCCTACATATTTTCAAGATATCTATTCTCCTTCAATTCTAGCGTCTTAAGCATTGTAATTTTAATCACTCCACCATTGGCAAACTTGTCTCAGCCCTAAGCTATGAAATTCCTTCCATGACTCTCTCCAGTTCTTTGCCTCTTTCCCATCCCTTAATCATTCCTTACAACTTTCCTTATTTATCAAGCACTCAGTCCAATACCTTAGTGTCTTATTTTGCGGGTTGTGTCAAACTGTAGCTGGTAGGCCAAATGGAGATCTTCAGGCCATGAACAGCCCACACAGTTTGATGATGACTTCCTGCTTATCTTCAGTCTTTTCCAGAGGCACATTGTTGGAGGAGACAGTTCGGTCCACCAGGTCATCCTCTACCAGGGCCTCCCTTCCCTGGAGTGCCAGACTAATTCTGACATAGCAGAGCATGATGAATGATAAGAGAAACAGTCTGTTCAGGTAGATGCACGACTCTGACTGTAATGCATTTATTCCCAGGTTTTTCTCAACAGGGTCATGAACTGTCTCAACACCAGCAATCCCTATTTTCCAAGAAACTTCCAATGAATCCAATAAACAGAAAATTCCTGGCACCTGGGAATGTATACACATTCTAAAGCCACCACGACTCCCAAGATAGTGTGCTCTGGGAAGATTAGAGCCTGGATGGTGCAGGCCTTGTCAATTGGGGATAGTCTGGTAATGGGAGGATCATTGGGATTGGAGGGAGTTCGGGGAGCTAGGTCAGCTCAGGTTGATGTAGGGAGAATGTGATGTTGGGTCAAGGGAGGTGTAGGCTGGAGGTCAGGGCTCTGTGGTGGTAGTAAGTCAGGGAAGTGAGAGTCAAGGCACTAGATTTGGGGGAGGACAGATCTGTGAGGAGAACAGGGATCAGGTCCTGGAGATGGCTGAGTGAGTAGTCAGGCAGACAGGGTGGTTAGTAGTTGGCTAAGAGCCAGATGATGAGTTGCAGGGGCAAGGGGTTTGGCGTGTAACAATTCAAGGATTGAGTCAGAGGAGATGTCAGCTCAGGGCCTCAGGTGTTAGAGGGGTTGTATTGGGCATCCAATTGTTGGTTGGAGGAGGAACTTGAGGATTGGGTTAAGAGGACATAACCAGGTTACTGACAATGTGCAGGCTTTGGATATAGCCAACAGGAAGGTTGGGGTTTGTCAATGAAAACTTGCAGGGGTGCGTATTGGTGGTGAGGTTGGAGGGATGGTGGGAGGAAACAGGTCAGATTTACAGTCAGTCAGGAGTTAACACAGTTTTTAATCCTCTAACTTTCCCCACCTAGCTATTCAAAGTATGAGTCAGAACTCTCTGAACTCTCTGATCAGAATTAGTGACACTTTTTCAGAAGGTTCCAGATGCTATCGAGTCACATGGAAACAGATTGTTCAGCCCAACTCATCCATGCTGACCAGGTATCCTAAACTGAACTAGTCCCATTTGCCTGCATTTGACCCATATCTCTCTAAATCTTTCCTATCCATGCACCTGTACAAATGTCTTTTAAATGCTGTAATTGTACTCACCTCTACACTTCCTCTGGCAGCTCATTCTGCCCTCTGTGTGAACAAGTTGCCCCTCAGGTCCCTTTTAAATCTTTCCTCTCTCACCTTAAACCTATGCTGTCTAGTTTTGGACTCCCCTACTCTGGGAAAACACCTTGACTATTTATCTTATCTATGCCTTTCATGATTTTATAAACCTCTACAAGGTCACTCCTCAGCGTCCTAGCTCCAAAATAATACATAGTACTCCAAATATGGCCTTACCAATGTCTTGTACAGTGTAACATGATGTCCCACCTCCTGTACTCAATGCTCCGACCGATGAAGGGAAGTGTGCCAGATGCCTTCTTCACCACCCTGCCTATCTGTGACACCACATACAAGAAACTATGTACCTACACCTGTAGGTTTCTCTGTTTGACCAAACTCCACAGGGCTTATCGTCAGCTGTGTAAGTCCTGCCCTGGTATGTGTTACCAAAATGCAGTACCTTGCATTTATCTGAATTAAGCTCCATCTGCTATTCCTTGACCCACTTGCCCTGTTGATCAAGATCCTGTTGTGTTCTTAAGTAATCTTCTTTGCTGTCCACTATACCACCAATTTTGGTGTCATTCTCAAACTTACTTACCAAGCCTCCTATTTTTTCTTCCAAATCATTTATCTAAATGACCATGTATTGCCCTGGTAACTTCCGCTGGATTAGTTATATATATATAGTTATATATTATTATTCTTTCTCCAATACATCGATGATATCATCGGTGCAGCTTCCCTCTCTCGTCTGGAATTGGAAAACTTCATCAATTTCGCCTCCAATTTCCACCCTGCCCTCACTTTCACCTGGTCTATCTCTGACTCCTCCCTTCCCTTCCTCGACATTTCTGTTTCCATTTCTGGGGATAGATTGGCCACTAATATCAACTACAAACCCACTGACTCCCACAGCTACCTGGGCTATACATCATCACACCCCACTTCCTGTAAAGACTCCACCCCATTCTCTCAGTTCCTCCGTGTCCATCGCATATGTTCAGATGAGGCCAACTTCGACAAGGGAGCCTCCGAAATGTCCACCTTCTTCCTCAACCAAGGTTTCCCCAGCTCCGTTGTTGACAGAGCCCTCGACCAGGTCCGACCCATCTCTCACACTTCTGCCCTCAGCCCTTCTCTTCCCTCCCACAACAGCGATAGGATTCCCCTTATCCTTACCTACCATCCCACCAGCATCCACATCCAGGAGATCATCAGACGCCATTTCCGCCACCTCCAGCAAACTGCCACCACCAGACACATATTCCCCTCCCCTCCCTTGTCCGCCTTCTGCAGGGACCGTTTCCTCCGGGACACCCTGGTCCACACTTCCTTCACCCCCAACACCGCCCCACAGCCCTACGGAACCTTCTCCTGTAACCTGCGCAGGTGCAACACCTGCCCATTTACCTCCTCCCTCCCCAGTATCCAAGGGCCCAAACATACCTTCCAGGTGAAGCAACACTTCACCTGCACTTCCCAGAATCTAGTCTACTGCATTCGCTGCTCACAATGTGGCCTCCTCTACATTGGTGAAACAAAGCGTAGACGTGGTGACCCCTTTGCAGAACATCTACATTCTACTCGCAAAAAAGACCCTGAACTACCTGTTGCCCGCCACTTCAATGCACCTCCCTGCTCCCTGGCCAACATCTCTGTCTCCGGCTTGCTACAGTGTTCCAGTGAAGCCCAATGCAAGCTGGAGGAACAATACCTCATTTTCCGCTTGGGGACACTACAGCCCTCTGGACTCAATATTGAGTTCAATAATTTTAGGGCCTAAACTCTCCCATGTCCCAGCCCCCCACCCCACACACCAGGCTTTGTTACCACATAGTTTGCCACTACACACCCCCTGTTGTTAGTCACTAACAGTCCCCATTAACAACTATTCACCCTCCCAGCCTGATCGTTAGCAACTCCTTTGTCTGTCCAACTGTCTTTCTCTCTCTTCGGGCTCTATCCTATCGTTTACTCCCTAACCCACCCACCTCCCTATTTTCTGCATATAAACTGACGTTTTCCCAGCCACCATCAGTTCTGAGGAAGGGTCACCGGACCCGAAACGTTAACTCTGTTTTCTCCTTCACAGATGCTGCCAGACCTGCTGAGCTTTTCCAGCGACTTTGTTTTTGTTCCTGATTTACAGCATCCACAGTTCTTTTGGTTTTTAGTTATATTAGATCTTGTGTATGGTCCCAGTGCACAATCTACTCCTCAATAATGACTATCTTTTAGTTGGAAGACTGGGGCTGAAGTCTGCAATCAACCAGTGTACCTTGAGCATCTGATTCTACTGCTGCATGATGTATATTGGAATATTCCTTCTCAATGTTCTTGTTCAACTTTAAATTGGTCTGGGGCTATTTAGTCACGGTGGTTCCCGATGATAAACTGAATGAGCCTGGTAGGTAGAAAGTCAGGTAACAGTTCTTTTTTTCACCTGTTATTGATTGAAACAGATAAATAAGGAGCAAATGGTGAATTAAAATGATTATAAACACACAAAGAGTGATGAGCAGGAACAAATCTTTTGGTCTATCTTACACCACAATGACAGGTGATGCGTGAGTGCATCACAAAATATACGTACGCCATTTCACCCAAAAGCAAGGATTTTTCAGTTAATAGTGAAGCAAAGGTTTTTGCACAAACCTCCCAAGGAACACAGTCTTTGTTGGACATTTCCCCTTTTCAAGAGGCTGTTTAAAGCTGGTCAGCAGCAGTGAGATCTGAAGCATTTACAAGCAACATCAAAAAAGGAAGTTAGATTTGAAGTGTTTTTTTCACTTTTTTTTTTAAAAATCAGTGTGAAATAAATGTATGTTTGTGTTAAATTTGAAGCTAACAAAAAGATAGACACATTTTTAGAACTGGAAAAGGCTTGTGTTTTTAAATGCATCTAGATTTTCTGTATTAACATAGAGAAAATTGATATTCCACAAATAAATTGGTTATTTGGGGCCAGTGAGGATTATCAACAAGAATTGTGAAGGTTGAACATTGTTAAAAATCCAGTTATATCTCATTCAACAATTTAGACATTTCAAGGATTTCAAACACAGTTTTTAAACACAGAGTCAAATGGCATATAAGTAGAACTTTGCAACATGACTGCATCCGGAAAAAGTCTCTGCCGTGCACTGTACTGAGGAGGTAGGCATAGACCAACTGAGAGTGGCTCATGGATTTCCATGTTATTTGGCAGACTTTGGGACTCGTGATGTTTCTGTCGGTTTCGGTGTAGTAATTGCTGGCAAACACAATTGTTGCTATAAGTACCACAGAAAAATCCAGAGTCATGAGACTTCCTAGAAGACAGGATTAAAACTGATGAAAACTCAACACTAATTGTAACAACGCCATCTTACCTTTTCTTCTTTCAGCCCCTTAGCTAATTGAAGATTATCCTGGAGATCATTTGGACTGGTAATTCTATATAATATCTCACATTTCTACAAGACGCCCTCCTCTCAAGGCAGAGGTCTAGCTGTCTCTTAAAAGTATTCAATGCGTCATTGCACGCTTCTGCTATTGTTTGGGTAAAGAATGCATCTCCTAGATTCTGTTTAACATTTGTGTATTCTCCAACTTGAAATTGTGACTCTTGACTCTCCATAACGTCTTTAATTGGGACAAACTGTCAACCTGCACACAAGCAATTCCTTTCTTTTTCTTATACTTATTCATTGACTTTAAAGCTCTTTCCATTACAATGGTATTTGCTAATACATCCTTCATGTTAGCAAATTGTTTTGACTCTGCCATTTACTGCTGTAAAAGCTTTTGATCGCAAAAGCTGCTCTGCCTGATCTTGAGGTCCTCCAGTGTTATTATATTATCCTCGAAGATGGGTGGAGGCAATGTTTTCAATCTGTTCATCCACTTGACTGTGATTAATACGTCAAAAATAAATGGACTGACATCAATATGGAACACACATAGGGTACCGCCCAAGGAACAAATATTTAGATTTTGGTGGAAGATGCAGATCTTCTTTCTGGAAGCTTTTGAGGGATATGTTAACATTGGGATATAGGGTGAATCGGCTTTCTTTTAAAGCATTGTAGACTACTTTGAGTTTAGTTGAATGTTTCAGAATGTTGCAGTTCCCGACAGTTGCTACCGTGAAATTTGTCACAGCTGTAAAAATGTCGGCAGAATTGGCAGAATTTGCAGAATGGTTTGTTGGATGTGGATTGTCCTGAAATCTCCTCAGTGAAATGGTAGTTCTTACCAGTAAGATATCTTTTATCAGTTTTGAAGTTACAAAGCATCAATCAAGCAAAGAAAAGACTCAGTGAGGAACTGTGTCACTGTAATAATGTTGACTTAACACTGCATTGCAGAAGTATGTGTTCTGCTGAGTGCCTCTTCAGTGGTTCATTCATGTTGAATACCTTCAGATGTTCGTCCAGAACCTCAACAAAGCTATCTTTTGATAGTGAAAGGGCAATACTCAAAAAAATTATAAATTTGTGAGAATCCTCAAATAATATATAAGTCAGTGTATAAAAGAGCAAGGAATTTTCAGAGTGCAGTGAGCATGAGATTACATATTGCATGAGGTTTGTTGATTTGAACAAATGTAAGACGTACTTAGTGGAGGTGAATTGGAGCACAATAGTTTCAATACAACGGTTTCACAAACAAACAAATCATAATAGTTTATGACTATCATACTGACCGAGAAGAGGCAGAAAAAGCTTGAAATCTGACACCAGCTCTGAATTGTTCTTATTACCTCAACTGCTGAAGGGGGTGGAAGTAATGTTTTCACTCCTGAGACGCTGTTTGTCTGTAACCGTTATATCTAAAAAGCTAATGGATGGATTTCTACAAAACTTTGCACATCGATAGGTTGTGTCAGATTTCAATTTTTTTCTGTTTCTTCTCAGCCAGAATGATACTCGCAAACTGTTATGATTGTGAAACCATTTTATTTCAATTCATCTCCACTAAGTACATCTTACATTTACACATAGGCTGTGTCTAAGGCAAAACCAATTTCTTTTTGGCAAAGATGCAGATTCAGATTGAGATCCTAAAATTTATTTTAAATTATATTAAACTTTTAGAATGTTTACAAATGCTTTCTTCATGTCAATACGGGAAACTCCAAGTCTTGCCGTCATGGAGAAGAATCTATTAAGAAACCATTTTTTTTTCCAGAGGGAGGACATATACTGAGAATTCCTAGAGTCAATATCTTGAGTCAATTGAGTAACCACTGGTATATTTGATTCCCACAGACAAAGGATTTTTTTCTATAATCTGTCAACTGTGTTTAATTGATTTTGTGCATGAAGAACTGTTTGGGAAACACTGTAAGCAGTTTCAAATTGTTAATAAGTGTCCTGTGATGCTTGGTGATAAATATTATGGGCTGTAAAAGTTTGACTCAGTTGGTGATATTTTTGCCTTTGAATTAAAATGGTCAGTTTCAGGTCCATTTCAAATCTTAGAGCTCAAGATCTATGCTGTTTGAAGTCCAAATGCTGTGTGGCTTGGATGGGAACTTGCAGGTCTACTGAATGCTGCACAACCTGGGAATATCATGAGGGTAGAGCACTTGTCACCATTGCTTCAGTGATCACCTCAGGAGAAGGAAAGACAGAGGAAAGCAAGTGTCATGTGAGACAACTTCACTCCTGCTGGGCTGCTTGTCAGCATCTTATCAGACTCTGCCTCCTGTGAGAAAATCCTCAGGTGACCATTGCTGCATATGTAGAATCAGGGAATGGCTACACACAAAGGGGCCATTCAGTTTGTCATGTTCAAACTAGCCTTCTGCAAGAGAAATTCACCAATGTCACTCTGTCTCTTTTCCCTTTCACCCAGAAAATATTGTCTTTTTAGATGATGAGCGAGTTCCTTATATCATTGATTCAGCCTTCATCACTCTCTCAGACCATGCATTCCTGATCTTAACAATGCAATGTGTAAAAAATATTTTACTCAGGTGGCCATTGCTCCTTTGATAACTGCCTTAATCCTTGAAAGGGCATAAAATTCCAACTGAGACCTAACCTGTGTTTAAAGCAAATTTACTTTCTTTACTTTGTGAACCTATGGCCCTACTTAAAAAGCCCAGGATCAATATATTTTATTAACTCCTCTTAGGGCGGCACGGTGGCTCAGTGGTTAGCACTGCTGCCTCACAGCGTTAGGGACCTGGGTTTGATTCCGCCCTCGGGCAACTGTCTGTGTGGAGTTTGCACGTTCCCCCTGTGTTTGCGTGAGTTTCTTCCGGATGCTCCGGTTTCTTCCCACAGTCCAAAGATGTGCAGGGTAGGTGGATTGGCCATGTTAAATTGTCCATAGTGTTCAGGGATTTGTGGGTTATAGGGAGATGGGTCTGGATGGGATGCTCTGAGGGTCAGTGTGGACTTGTTGGGCCGAAGGGCCTGTTTCCACTCTGTTTCTATGGAACCTGTCCTGCCACCGTCAATGATTTATGACCATATATACCCAAGTCCCTCTGCTGCTGAACCACATTTAGAATTGTACCCTTTATTTTATATTGTCTCTCTGCACTATTTCTACCAAACCTCACACTTCTCTGCTTTCAGTTTCACCTACCACTTGTCTGTCCATCCCACTTACCTTTTGAAGCGCTACGCTTGCCTTCTCATAGTTCACAATACATCCAGATTTGTCCTCTGGGCAAATTTTGAAATGAGCCCTGTAGGCCAATTTCTAGGTCATTCAAATATTGGGAAGAGGAAGGGTAACATCAGAAGAACTCCACTATAAACCTTCCTAAGAGCTAAAGAGCAACCATTCACCATTACTGTTTCCTTTCACTCAACCAATTTCGTATTTATGTTGCCACTGTGCCTTTTATTCCATGAGCTCTCAGTTTGCTCACAGGTCTGTTGTGATACACTGTAGCAAATGCTTTTTCAGTCCATGTACATATGGATGATATTGCCCTCATCTGTTCTCATTGATACCTCATCACAGAAAGCTCAAGCAATCTAGGTAAACATAATTTGCTCTTAATAAATGCACTTTCATACTTTAACAATCCTTCATTAAAATGACCACAATTATCTTGACTAAAGGGCTGAAAAAAAAGACAGTACAATCTAACCATTGCACAACAACTTTATCAAACAGCATTTTCAACAATACTCACACTGCTCAACTTTCACTCGATTGCCTTCTTTTACTGCCTGTATGTCTGGCTTGCTGCTCGTACATGGTGCTACATCAGTGCAAAGCTGCTAACTTTTCATTTGATTACTGTACCACCTCCGTAAGGGACAGGAACACACACACACACACACACATGCACAAACTCAATTTCTGCATTGCAGCGTTAGTGCTACACTTCTGGACAAGTGCCCCAGCAACATTATTAACCTGCTGGAGAACAGATTGTTACTTTCTGTGAGATTCTGCAAGCTTTGTTGAACATTGGTATCTACAGTCCTGACGGCAACAGGATAGCAGCAATTTGGCCTTGTATGGTTTCTAGCGTGGATCACATGACCTCAGTCTGAGTTTCAGCTGATCTAAAGTGGTCTCTGCCTGTCCTATAATAGAAGCTTAGACATTGACAAAACAATGCTGCATCACAACTGAATCTTCAGTCATGGTGTTGGTTACCTCATCCACAAGTGGCCTCCAAATTCCATGTCACATTGTGCAAGGTTTAGGTGTTTTGCAGTATAAAACACTTCACTTCAATCTTTTTTCACCATACTTAGGTACATGTGACAGTAATCAATCAAATCAGATCCAAGCTCCAAGTTCTTAATTTATAATAATGGGATTCTCAGTTGTGTTTGACCTAACAATGTACAAGTAACACTCATGTATTTATGAATCAAATTAACAATTTTATTCTACAATGTCCAAGATCCTTTGAATATTGCCAACACAGGTGGTGCCTCTCTCCTGCATCTGAACTGATGTTACATTAAACTGTAGCTCAAAGAAATGCATTACAGAAGACATGGTAAACTACATGAACAAAAACAGCTTCCAACTCTCATTCCTAATTCTGAGTGTGGCTTTTCGCTAATTAGGAAGTGATCCAAAGTAACGTTTCTCATTGGCCTAAGAATGAGGATCACACAAGAGGTGTCACCACCTCCGTAATTGGAGTTATGTCAGCTAAAGGAAAATCCAACCATTTATTCCTTAGGCCTCAGAAACTCCCATTTCATTTTGTGAGTAAATTACATATCCTTTCAGAGACAGAGAAGTTGTACAATGTTACATCATCTTATCAATACCGCAAACTGTCAAAACCAGTCAACAGCTAGAACATCATCAGCTGGAAACCACGCTGCTAGTGCTG